TGAAGCAAAACACTCTTTGCATTATATACTTTGGGTTTGGGTAGATAAGTTAATCCCCCAGTTCAATAAGATGAGTCCATCGATCTCTAACCTAAGTAACATAAGCCTTGTCAGTGATGCCAAATCATTCTAACACTCTCTTAATTTCTGCACCTATCCCATAAATACTGATGGTTTAGAGACCTCTAGCCCTGGTGCATGTCACTGGCTCACATGATCTACAGTTCCTCATCTCTAACCCAGACTTAGGTCTTTCAATCAGCATTCTGAGGAGATTCTGGCTTCTAACTCCTCAGCCATCCTGATTATTCTTTAGAAATGCATCACTTAAAACATGGTACTTACAAAGAGGTTTGTAATCATCAGGTCATTGACTTCCCAGTCTTGTGATCCAAGCTCTGGTCATGCAGCCTGAGATTGGCATCCCTTTTCAGTAGCCATACATGGTTCATTTACACTAAACTTAAATCTGCAGCACTCTCAAGGCTGTTGAACAAGTTCTATCCCATCCTGCAGATCTTATAATACTTGAAATGCAAAGTTAAAGTCACTATATTTTGCTTCCTCAGATTTCATCTTATTGATAAGTCATCCATCAACTTTGTTAAGATCTTATATTGTTGTGCTCTGGCAGTTTTGGCAATCACTTTAAGCTTCATAAGATATTTGTACTAATAGTGTTATTTGTTTCCAGTGACAAACCATGCAAGGTGTAGAGTGTTGTCATTTTCATTTTCAGTTGAGTTTGTTGAGTCACAAATAGAAGGCCTTGCTCAAGATCCCTTAGTAAATAACCTGGAAAAATTCTTACACTTCAACAAGACAAGTTCTTCTGGCTCGTTCGAGTTGCTCTGATAACCTTGAAGCAAGCCTCTACGGTTACTTCCCTCAGTTGACTTCGATCTTTTGATCTCTCTCAAGTGCAGTTATTCAACTAGATATTAACAAAACTTTATGCAGCATCCACAGTAGGTAGCTGCCTTGGCCACCAAATTGTGGAGAGCCTTTTATCAGGTGCCTGGCTGAAACTTTGGCATACTATGGTCTACCTAAGCCATTGAGATAGGAGAATCAATTTAGCTGGGCCATCATTTTCTTTATAAATACATCAGAATCCTATTCAAATGGTCTCTCATGATGTATTTATAAATAACCACAAATTATTTTTTAACCTTCCACTACCCTCAAAATGACTAAAGAGATGAAACTGATAACCTCTTAATAATTATACTTCCATAAATACTATTGAGGGATGCACCATAGTCCTCAGGGGCCCTGAGTGTAGTAAAAAACAACCGAAAATCTAGCACAATATATCCAGACAATGCATTTTGGTGAGTTGTCAGATGAATGAGTCACAAATAGTATAACAGGAAAATGACACAGACTAAATTACAGACTATTCCAGTACAAGCAAGAATAATTATTATAGTCAGATTTTTTTCTGCCTTAGTATAATGTGTACACATCCATTGAGACATAACGGAAAATACAGCCTTTGTTGTGTCTCACTGTCATTAATTTGAAAGATCCTCCAATCAGGCAAGAAACAGACATAAAAGTGTGCTCATCCTGTTGGGACATACCATGATAAGTGTGCACAGAAGATGCTACTAGAGAAATACTGTTTTGTCATTTTTGTTTTGCTTTTGTTTTTGTTTGCTTGCTCTGGCTCAAATAACCACGATGCTGCAAAATTTCCACAAAGTCATTTTTTTCCCGAGACTTCTGAACTTTTTCACATGCCTTGGTTGGGTTGTAAATATCTTTCTGTTGGCCAAAGCTAGCATAATACATTCTTAGAGCCTAGCAGACTAGGGAAGCATTCCATTCCCCAATCCATGGTGCCCAGCTTGTCAGCTTTTCTTAACCTAAATAAAGGAGTCCTTATCCAACTAGTATGTGGTTTGCTAACATAAGTAACCAGGTTTAAGAGAGTCATTGGAGCCACAACTAAATATTGTAGTTTCCATTTTTAAATATCTCTCTTTTCTTTAAAAGTCTATCCTTTTACAATAACAAATGCCTTCTCAAAAACTGCTTGCTGAAATGGCTTTTTCGCAGTGCCTTCTCAATATCAGCTTCTTTTCACTGACTTCCTGAAATGTGATATGAAAAACCACTAAGCTCAACCTTCATCTGTCATAATGCCACATATATAAATAGCTGTCGATTGTAGATTATTTCAGTATCCATCACAGGGCGTGAGCAAGTAGAAAGTACCACAAAGGAAGTCTCCTTGGAGTGATCAGTGTGGAATCTTGCCTATTTTTCCAAGTATAATTATAGTTTTTCCAAGTCTCTCATCAAAGCTTTGTACAGTATTTTTAAAGATCAAAGCTAAATTTCCAAATGTGATGTCAAAGCTATGAAATTCTTATTAGTACCTTGGATTTTTACATTCTTCAAGTTTGTCACTTATTACAATCTGTAAAAAAAAAAATCTAGATTTTTGAAGGAATATGCAAAATGGGAATATGCTAATGGTTTGTCTACCTGTTTGCTTTTTTATGGAAAAAGAATATATTACAAGATTTAGGAGTGTTAGGATTGATGAGCAACTGAACAAACTTTGACAAATAACAAACAATGAAGGACCATTAAGTGCATTTCAGAATTTAATCACCTCAGTTAACCTGTGAGGCAGGGCCTTTGTTATTGATTGGTTGCTTGGTTGATTGAGTTAAAAGGTAGACAGAGAGACAGACTGGTAGAGAAATCTTCCATCTGCTGGTTTACTCGCTAAACAGCCACACAAACAGGACTGCTCCAGACCAAATCCTGAAGCCCAGAGCTCAACCCAGCTCTTCTTCCTAAGTGCCAGGGACTTGAGCGTTTGAGCCATCACTTGCATTCTCCCAGGGTGTATGTTAGCTGCAAGTTTGATCAAAAGTGGAGGCCGGACTCAGGCCAAGCACTTGGATATGGATGCAGGCATGCCACACTGTATCTTAATGGCTGCATCAAACTCCTGCCCTAGGTAGGGCCAATTTTTAATCTCATTTTTTAAAGATTTATTTTATATTTTTATTTTAAAGGCAGAGTTACAGAGAGAAAAAAGTCAGAGCCAATTCACTCTCTAAATGACTCCAACAGCCAGAGCTGAACCAGTCTAAAGCTGGGAATCAGGAGCTTCTTCCAGGTTTCCCACATGGGTGTTGGGGCCTAATGACATGAACTGACTTCCCAAGGAATAGGCAGGGACCTGGCTCAGAAATGGAACATGCAGGATATGAACCAGGGTGCATATGGGATGCCAATACCGTAGGCAGAGGATTAATCTACTATGCCGTGGTGTGTCCCTTTAATCTCAGTTTATAAGTTAGAGAAACTCATAACTTTTGTCTAATCACATAACTCTTAATTTGTACCGCTAGCACTCAGACCAGGTCTTAGAACCAGTTGCTAAAGTAAAATAAAATAAATTCACTTAACAAAAAAATATTAAGCAAATAGAACAGACTTGGCACTAAGGAGATATAAATAATATCAACAGAGATAAGAGCTCTGCTTGAGATGAGTTTCCTTGTAATAGCTTGGAAGTTCTATGCAACCTGCATTGTGGTTCAGCAAGTTAAGCTACTGCTTGCAACACCATTATTCCATTTCAGAACAGCAGTTCAGGAAATATAGGTTGTCCCTAGCTTCTCCATTTCCAGTACAGCTTCCTGCAAATATCCCTGTGAAGGCAACGGAACAGACCCAAATATTGGTCCACTACCACATAAGGGGGAGATTAGTAAGCAGTTCTTGGCTCCCAGTTTCTTAGTGGCCCATACTTGGCTGTTGTAGCCATTTGGAAAATGAACCAGTGGAGGAAAAAATCTCTTCTTACTTCACTCCACCCCGTCCCATTCCTTCCTCTGTCTCCCAATATTTCTGTTGCTCTTTCAAATAAATAAGTGAATAAACAAATTTTAGAATTGAGCCTCTCTAGCAAAGGTTTCCAATATGGGACTACTGACATACCCACAGTTCATATCCAACATTTGGAATGTTCTGCGAAAAGCTGTCTAGACTGGGGATATGCTAGAGTAAAGAATTATAGCCAGATTTTGCTGTAAAGGATCCAGAAAGAGGTGGCCAGGGCTTAGGCTAACAACACTACAGTAAAGGAAACAGATTTGAAAAGCATTTTACAGTTGCGTCTTGGTGACATGGATGGTATGAATGTGGAAGAATCCAGCAGTTCAATCCAAAGGGAAATCATTGATCCTAGGTTGGAGTCTGGACTGGGTCCAAGAATGTGGGGAGATAATTGAGGCCATCTCTGTCAGGGATTGCAAACACCAACACAAGTGAAGTCCATGGAGGAGGTACAGAGTACATAATCTTAAAGCCATGGTGAGTGACCCCAGTGAGCTTGGAGGAGTCCATTTGACACAACAGGCTGGTCCAGCAGAGTAGCTGGTTGGCATGGCCTTCAAATTAGATCTGTAGATTGGCTTTTAAGTCTCTACTTCAAGGCATTCTACAATTTGCTGCTAATTAATACAATGCGAGATGAGGATGAGGGGGTTCAGCTGTGAGAGCTCTTGATGTTGAGATTCGGAAGAGGAGAGTTGTATATAATGGTCCCAGGGCACTGCAAAGAATTTTGCTGGAAAAGAATCAAGTGCTCTTTATTGCTGAGTTGCATTTCTTTGTATTAAGGAGGGCTGCAGGTGTTTTATTTGGAGACTATCTGACCAAATTGAAATTTCTCACTGCTTGTAATTGGTTAGGGAAATCTTCTTGGGGAGGAAAAAAAAAGTGGACTCACAGATCTTACAAAAATGGAAAGGAAGGACACTGGGCGAGTTGACAAGAGAGCCTCCCAGCATCCAAGGAGGACACAAATATGCAGGAGAGAGAGTGGTAGTCTCAGGTGCGAAGAAACCCAGGGGTCCTCTAGGAAGTGGGGAACAGACAGACAGGAAGAGCTCGCCTGTCCTCAGCTCTTCTAAAGTCCCATGGCCCCCACACCACCTGTCACGAGCATCCACCTTGATGTTTTACAGGGTGAAGACTCAGATGAGGAAGATCTCTGCATCAGCAACAAATGGACTTTCCAAAGAACCAGCCGCAGGTGGTCTCGCGTGGACGACCTCCACACCCTGTTCCCCGGAGGGGACAGAAATGGGTCACTGGGAGGCCAGAGGATGAGAAACACCACCAGCAGTGAGAGTGTCCTCACCGACCTGAGTGAGCCTGAAGTTTGCTCCATCCACAGCGAGAGCAGCGGAGGCAGCGAGGGCCGCAGCCAGTCAGGCCAGTGTGGGGCTGACAGCCCGGTCATGCTGGAAGCCACACTGGTCAGCAGCAACCTCCAACAGTTGCCCCAAGAGGTCCTCAGCCACCCTTTCCATGTCAGGAATGAGAAACCTAGCAGGGCCAGAGCCAAGTCATTCTTGAAACGCATGGAAACACTGCGCTCGAAGGGATCGCACGCAAGGCTTAAGGGGCCAGGACGGACAGGTGGCCTGGTCATCAGCGGGCCTGTACTACAACAGGAACCAGAGTCCTTTAAAGCCATGCAGTGCATCCAGATCCCAAATGGACATCTCCAAACTTCCCCCTCCACTGCCTGCCAAAGAGGACTTCCATGCTCTGCTAAATCAAGCGGCGACAGCAGCCCCTCAGAAAACAGCAGCAGTGGGGTGAGCACTCCCTGCCTGAAGGAGCGGAAATGCCACCATGAGGCCACCAAGCGTGGGGGCATGTACCTGGAGGACTTGGATGTGCTGGCGGGAACAGCACTGCAGGAGGCAGAGGACCAAAACCACAGCCATGGCTTTCACTCCCAAGAGAATTTGCTGGTGCATATCCCCAAGGATCACAAACCAGGAACGTTCCCCAAGGCACTGTCCATAGAGAGCCTCTCACCCACAGACAATAGCAATGGGGTTAACTGGAGGACTGGAAGCATCTCCCTGGGCAGGCAGCAGGACTCAGGGGCCAGAGAGCAGAGGCTCATGGCACCCTGCCACAGAGCAAGCCGAGTCAGTATTTATGACAATGTCCCTGGCTCCCATTTGTATGCAAGCACAGGGGACCTGCTGGACTTAGAGAAAGATGAACTCTTCCCTCACTTAGATGACATCCTGCAGCATGTCAGTGGGCTCCAGGAGGTGGTAGATGATTGGTCCAAGAATGTCTTGCCTGAACTGCAAACTCAGGATGCACTGGCTGGGGAGTCTGGCCTATTGCCCTTCCCCTCTCCTAATCAGATCACTTTGGACTTTGAAGGCAACTCAGTCTCAGAGGGCCGGACAACACCCAGTGATGTAGAGAGAGATGGTGCATCTCTGAATGACACTGAGGTCCCTGGGGTCAGAGAAAGGAGGGACTCTGGTGTGGGAGCCTCTCTGACCAGACCAAACAGGTGGGTTAGCATGCTTTTATGAAGTGCATGGTCAGCCGTTTCATAGCAATCATGTTTTGTTTTATTCCTCTACTAGGCATTGATAAAGTCTGGGCTATAGGTTTAATGCTGCTCTAAGTGGTTTGTGTGTTTAAGAATTATTTAACAGAAATATGCATTTTGTACTGGTATCATGTTAATTGAACCCTTGTGAATTTACATTCATCTCCTTAATGTTTATTTTTATGTTACCTTTTTAAAAAAGATGTATTTATTTGTGCTTGAAAGAGTCGCAGAACAAAAGAGAGGAAGAGACAGAGAATCTTCCATCTACTGGTTCACTCCTCAAAAGATCACAAAAACCAGAGTTGGGAACCAGGAGCTTCCAGGTCTCCCACATGGGTGCAGGGGCTCAAGAACTTGAGCCATCCTCCTCTGCTTTTCTAAGCCACAAGGAGGGAGTTGTATCAGAAGTGGGGCAGTCAGGACTCAAACCAGAACCCAGATGAAATGCTAGCACTGCAAGAGGACAGTTAGCCTGGTCAGCCACCATGCTGGGCAACCTTAGTTTAATTTAAAAAAAAGTTTGAGCCTCTTAACATATAAAGCACAACATGAGACACAGTATCTCTGGAGAACCTTGCATAGTGGAAGCCCAGTTCGTGCACTCATGGCTCTCTGTACATCCTTGCAACAGTATGAATTTCATTGTCTTATCCCCACTGTTAAGCTTTTTCTCATCCCATGAAAAAGTCCTGAGATCTAAAGTGTGTACTTTGTAGGTTTGGTTTTGCTTTAGAATGTCAGTAGAAAAAGACATAAATTATCTGTGAGAAGGCCTCACTGGTAGAGGCAGCACCACTCTTGTGGGCTGCTGGGGTCTGGGTGAGGCAGTGATGTTTGCTGGGGCTCACTGATGGGTCAGTGCCTTCTGGCTGCCTACATTGCACCTGTCATCATCATCATAACCCATCTCCGTAATAACAAGGCTTGGAGCTGGGAGGCATGGAAGTCAATGTGAAAAACATCTGGGTCCCCAAACATGCAAGAGCTCTCCATCTCTCTCTCTCTCTCTCTCTCTCTTTCTCTCTCTCTTTCTCTCTCTCTCACACACACACACTTTCTCTCTGTCTTGCCCCCTCTGTCCCTCTTTCACTTTGTGTTTTGCCGCCACTATTACCACCCACTTATTCCCTCACACACGTAACTCTCGACAGTTTGGAAATTAATTTGGAAATAAACAAATAAGAAGAATTTATTATCTCCCTTATTTAAACCTCTTAATGAAACAAGCAGAAAATACGACCTTTTCTATATTTCTTCAGCTTGGAAAAAAAATCCCTTCCTCTGTTTATTCTGCACTTTTGTGTCTGCAGTTCCTTTTGCTTTATGATTTTCTTGGCTCAGAAATGATCTTGATTAACTACTTATATACGGGTGAGATCTTGTGCTTTTCAAATAACAAGTCCACATGGTGACCAGCTTATCTGATGGTCTCTCTGGTCAAGGCGACTCCGATGGAACAGCTTCCAGCTCTCACACCAGCCCCAGCCCTCACCGGCATCGCCCCACATAAGCAACCAGACGGCTGGCCAGCTGAACCTGCTCCAGCGCTTCTCCCTGCTTCGCCTCACGGCCATCATGGAGAAGCACTCCATGTCCAACAAGCACGGCTGGACATGGTGCGTAGCACGTTCCAGAGAGGGGATCGTTTATCCTAGAGCTAAGTATGTGATGGCAAAAGCTTCAGTATTTCCTTTCTGCTTTCTGAAGAATCCATGCACTGCCTGCACTGACTAACTCCTGGGAATAAGGCGCCAAGCTCTGCCTTTCTGGGCAGCTGCAGCCTGGATGTGATACAGCCCACAGGAAGCCTTGCGTTATTTGTAGCTCTCAGTTGGTTTCCAGGGAAGGCAGTCAGTTTCTGGGAAAAGACAAAAAGACAAGTAAAGGATGATAAATTGTGAAGAGAGGAATTAAAAGCAAACTTGCCGTAAAATAATTCTGGCTGTTTGCAAAGAAACACGTTAGCACGTGTCACTTATGTTTTCTGGCTTGATGTGGAGTTCACCCCTTAAAGCACTGATTCCTTCAAAGGGTAATTAATTCCTCGCATGCATTTCTGCCTATATTTCATTAGCAGAAAAAGAAAAGAAGAATGTTTTATTACTAACAATCAGCAAAGACATGTTGGAACTGGAATGTAGCTCTATTACAAATGATTTGGTGGATTTGAAAATATAAAATGTTTCAATAAGTTTTGGTGTTATATATCATGTGTATAGAACAACTGATATAGTTACATAAGAGTATTTCATAAGTTTCAACGTTGCATGATCAAATCAATATATGCTGTGTATTAAAATTCCCTTTTAAAAATATAAATGAGACTAAGAAACCAAAAACATAGACAAGGAATGTGGTTCCTCTTCCATTTCTCCTTTTAATCTCCTAACTCCAATGAGATTCCTTGCTTCTCTTTCAATTTTAAGTTGTGTTTTGGTTGTTTTGTTGGGATTTTGAAGTATTCAACTCTTGAGAGGTCAGTCACAGTTAAATTGAAACGTTGTCCACAGGTCTTGAAAGCAGAGCTACAAAGCTACAAATGCAACCTGCTAACATGACTGTACTGGTTAGTAGAAATAACTTGTACTCAAAGGTCCCATGTAGTACTGCCGTGTCTGGTGATGAGCTTACAGAGAATGCTGAATTCCTCCTGTGCCTGTTGGACATTCCAACAATTGCTTGGCTTCCTTCTCACTTACTTCCACAACCTCTTCCCACAGTGCACCCCAGGGGGCTTGCATGACCTGCTTTCTGTGAATTCTAGGTCAGTTCCAAAGTTCATGAAGAGGATGAAAGTTCCTGATTACAAAGACAGGGCTGTTTTTGGCGTTCCTCTCATAGTCCACGTCCAGAGGACAGGACAGCCCCTGCCCCAGAGTATCCAGCAAGCACTAAGATACCTGCGCAGCAACTGCCTGGACCAGGTAGGCTTTAACCCCCAGACAGGGGTTAGAACTAATGGCATTAGATTGGACTGGGCGATGCATGCCTCACCAAAGGTGAAAAGCACTGTGATCTTCTGATGTCCAATTTAATTTGACCAGGCTGCAACCTCCTGGAATGATTTAAGCTCTTTTCCTCTCTGGCAACCTGATTGCCCACCTGGAGTGACCAACAGAAAGTTAATGTTCATGATTTGTCCCTGTGATGTCTAATTTGCATACCCTAAAACCCGGAAGTGAAGTTATGGATCACATTTCCTGTTTATTATTGTCTCAAATGCAGCCATTGATTTCAAAACAATCTTTTATGCTTGTTATATTACTTTTGTGAAAAAAAAAAGATTTGAATTTTATGTCTCCCTGTATGAATTAATGTTTTAAAGTAGTCTAATGACCATGAAAACTTAAGGCAAAATTTCTTTTTAAAATGTGTAAATACAATAGCAAAACTGTATCATCTAAAGAAAGTATCCCCTGGTCTTTAGAGCTGACTAAAAAGCTTATTAAACAAAACATTCAGAGATTATTTTCTGCCTCCAGGACTGTGTGGGGTTCAATATACTCATAGGCTATGATGAGTCTGGAGTACGACCCATCCTAAAATTTACCAAGCAAAGCCATTGTCTCTCAGATATTCTATACCAAAGAAAAGCAGTGTTGTTGTTTGATAAATTGCACCTGTGAAGTGGAGTAGAGAGGTTTTACACTGTGTTTTTTCAATCACCCTCCTCGATGTCATATGGAAAATCTATATCAATCAAAGATTATTTTTACTTTCTACCATTGGTCTTAACTCAGCAAATAGAATTGAGCTAAACCACATGAATTAGAAAATCTTGGCCACTGTTGCCTATGGAGATGCCAACATTGAGGCTTCCCTAAAAATCAAGGCAATCTCTTGATAATGCAGATATCAACATTCAGTGATATCCAAGTTAGTTAATGTAAGATAGGATGTTTCCATATGCAAGTGTCATAGTGAAGTGGCTACCATTATTATTGTTGTAAGGGTGACTGTTTCAGCTGAGAAATGATTCTTATAGCTCATTTCCTATTTCTCAAAAACAAGGGAAACCCATACTGCTTTAAAACTAGCTGCTCATCTTTTTCTGATACCCCATGTTGATGGACTTGGGAATGACACCCCATTGGAACAAATCAGTGAATCTGGTTACTTAACCACACATTTTCCATTCTTTCTCTCTCTTTCTTTACTTTTTGGAGGATTTTCCAAGAACTCAAATTAATCAAACTTAATGTTCTATGAGTGTTTAGTTGAGGAAAAAATCAGATAGACTACGTGAATATGTGGAAATACCTACTGTAATCTCTTTTCCAGTGCTACAAGTATAGCAATCAGGTCCCCTGACATAAGACTTCATGGCCACAACTATGCTATTGCTGGTTTGTTAGTACAGAATGAACAGTGTGTTTTGTGGAAAGCAGCCTTGATTCAAACACATTTTTTCCCAGGCATCTTCATTTTCGTAGGAGTATGTATGTATCAGAGTCTTTGGCTCTAGCCAACCAAGCACAGGAAATATTTTATTCCAAAAGCACGGCCAACTAATGCTTATCAGCAAAAGCTCCATTAAGAGAAAACAGTGTTTGTTCAGGAATGCTTAAGGGAAATGCAGTCAACTGTGCCATTAATTTAGTAACAATAATGTTCCTTGAGTGCTCAGTATTTTTTAGGCAGTTGTACTAAGCGTTTTACGTTCATTGCCTCATTTAATCCCAAATCCACCCTGGGCGATGTCATCCCCAGGTCTCAATCCTGGAGCTAATGCTTGCTTATGTATCTGTATAATTTCTTGGCCCATATTTGTAACCGTGCATTCCAGTATCACTTGGTAGAACTGCTTGTCCCCAGTAAACTTTGAAGTCAGGCCCTCTCTACCACAGAGACACGTTAAGAAGTGCCTCTACACAAACCACTAATGTCCACTGTCGGGATCTTGTCGATGGTGTTGTTCAATATGTCACATAGTATGTTTTCCATGAGAAAGGAAAAGACTCACTTTTTACTCTAACTAGCTCTAGTACCTGAAAACATTGTTTCTTCTGGACATCACTGTGTTTTGGATTTGTTTTTGCTTTATATTATAGAGAGCAGACCCAATCAGCTGAGTGTGTTTTACTCTTGTATTGGCCACTATAAAGCTTGGAGCTTGGAGTTTTCGGTATATTGTATCGTAGTTAACTTATTAAAAAGTTCATGGAATTAAGAAATGCTTACTTTGATGCAAAAAGAAAAAAAAATGAGATCCATGCATTCAAGGCATCACCAAAAAGTTCATGAGAAATATGTGTTTTTAAAAGGTTATGTATGGATTTTAAATTTTTCTGTGCCAAAATAAACTTTTTATTTCATTTCCATGAACTTTTTGAAGTATTTTCTCATGTAATTTTTCAGTGTGTGTCTTCCACATAAACCTCAGCCCTAGTTTCAGCTCACCTTTTATATTGTCTTCTTTTTGCTGTAATTTTCATAGGAATCATTCCTGACTTAATTGTATTTTGCAGTTCATTGTTAAGATACTTTAGATCCTTTCTTGAATAAAATTGGGTATTAAAAACAAATTGCCATTCCTCTAGCTCACTCACTCCCAAGTCTCTAGAGTGGAAAGGAAAGCACACCTGCCTTCTGTAGATTCTGAATGAGATGCTTTTACTGCAATCCTTGGATCTAGAAGCAAAAGTCATAGATGTAATTAGAATAGAGTTAGCATCTTAACCTTCTCAATTCTTGCTCACAGAAATATTCCCAGTATCCACTTCTCCTCCCCCGGTTTCTATTTCCTGCAATCTAGTAGACTATCATCATGAAAAGGCAATGTGTTGCCCCAGCTTTGTAGAATAAAAGATTTATTTCAAGGATATCAATACTGATTCTAAATGCCACCAAAGTGAATGAGGAACACTTGTGTGAGAGATGTATGAGGACGTGGGGTTCACAGGGGAAAGCTAGGCGCACAGAAAGAAGAATCTCAGAGCGTGTGGCTCACCAAGACTCTCTGAGAGGTTTGTAGGACTCAAAACAAATGAGTCAGGAAAGAAGTGAATGCATGACTGAAAGGATTGAGAAAAAACACAGGATAGATGCCTTTTCTTCACTGACTGCAGCTCCATGGGGATGACAAAGATTCATGTCTACACAGGGCCTTACGATCTCAGCCCTAAGTCCTAGAGAACCTCATTCTCTGCGGCTAGCTTTCCTGTAAGCCATTCTTGACTGGGAACCACCATCAAGACGTCGGCCTTGATCTCTGGAAAGAGGACATCTACAATGGGCTGTATCCCTTCTGCTGCTGAGTGCTCATCTCAAAGCCATCACCATGCACAGTTGAGCCCAGCTACACCAGGTCTGGAGCCATAGTCTGCATCTCACCTGCTGGGCTCCCTGCTGCTGAGCAGCTTCCATACAGTGAGACACATTACATTCATTTCCACCCTTGCAGCTGGCTGTTGATGAAATGAGGACGTTTAGCCTTCAATTGTGAACCATTTGTATTCAGACTTAGTAGTGTGTGAGAAGAGCCCCACTTTGTCATCTAAGCTTTTTATTTTTGCCCTGAATCAACTGTGCGAAGAAGGATGGGTTAAGCCAGGCTCCTGATGACTATGAGAGTCACTGCAGAGAGAGGCGAAACCTGCAGCACTCCAAAGCAGAATCCACTGCACACTCTGCTTATGAATCTTTCTCAGTACAACCAACCTTTCTTCATTAGCTGTGCACATCTCTAAAGAAGAGGAAATGGAAATCCTGATAAACATCATTAAGCCCTGAAAGGATTAGCATAAACAGGATGCCACTGAGGAGATTTAATATTATTTAGATGAAATTTGAATTCTAATGCAGCACTCATGCCCAAACGCTCCTTCTAATGGAGCAGTAAGTTTTAAAAGCCTGATTAGGCTGGGAAGATACTTCATACTCAGTACCCAAGATCCTGTACCCTATTCCCTGCTAACCACTGTGTCCAGAACCTACCCCAGATTAAATGAGAGGCGCCTTGGCCCCGATGTTTCAAATTCTATCTGGAGTCTTCACTTTCCCCTAGCTGGATTTTCAGGGAAAATGCAAAAGAGACAGGAAAGGAAAAGTAGGTCAGAAGAGTCTTCTCCTGTCTTAGTTTTGTCTTTATAAGGAGAAAGAGAGATCACACACAAGAGAAATGCTTGCAAAACAAATGCTGCAGAGCATGTCCCAGCGTCCCCTTTTAGAGAGGGCATTTGAGCTCCGGTTTCAAGGAAGCTGAAAGAGACTAGTTACACAGTGTGTAGGTCACCCAAAGAAAATGCATTAATACAGAGTGGGGTTGCTTGTTCATGAATTATTGGAATTGGCCAAAATAGTGAACAAGTGTAGGTCACTGACTATGTGACTGCCCAGGTTGCCCACAACTAGTGACAAACACAGAGGAAAATAAATAACATTCGCCTTCCGTTAGTCTTCCTCACAACAAAGCTAGATTCACTCTCTATCAACAGCTGTGAGCAGGATGTCCTCGGAAGCCATGTTTGACTTGGAAAGAACTTTCATTGGAAATGCAAATTTTACCCTTTCTTTGAAAGTTGTTTTGAAGAAGAAATAATCTTTGCAAGTCACTTGGGCCATTACCTACCTACACATTCTCCTCTGGTCACAGTACTTTGCACCATAGAAAGGTTCTGTTTACTGAGTCCGGGTGCTGCCCACCACATGTAACAGACCCTCTGTCTGCAGTGGCTCATAAATGGGAAGTTCATGATCTGATGCAACACAAACAAAATCGTCAGGAAAGAGGTTGGTTCTGGAGTAGTTCATTTAACAACTCATCCAAGAAGAAAGGCTTCCTGCATGGTTGCTTCCTTGTCTCGGCAGCTGCTCCATCTGCACAAGACAATCTTTCTTTTATTTGCTTTTGAAAAGAAATGTTCTTCAGTGCTTCCAACAAAAATCCACAGAACCCAGCGATGTTTCCTTTCCCAACTCTTCTGGAAGACCAGGGCAGGGCAGGAAGGTTATTGTCAGACATGGAGGAGGAGCAAATCAATCCCTGGAGACCCTGTGGACATCCTGGGAGCACAAAGTCAGAAAAAGTTGCCCAGAGGCGCATCTGGAGCACTCCAGACATGTGTAAAATAATTTAAATAACAATATTCACTGAAAGGAAAGAGAAACTTGAAAACTGAAAATATCCAGAAAACATGACCTGAATGTGTCTGACACAGAGACAGACCCTGGGAGTGCAGATGACAAAAGAAGGATGTATGCCACAATTTAAACACAAACACTCATCTGCTTTCTTCTTTTAATAGATTCCAATCAATATTTCTCTGCAGTTAAAAAACAATAGGAGTTCTTCTCAAGTGGAATAATACCGACTCACATGAGGATAAGTGTTTGTGAGTCATGTTGAAGAATTCACCTTCGGGGCAATTAGATTCTGGCCTATGATGTGTGCAAACCTGGGCCTCCTTCCAAAATTGAAAAGGGGATACAAGCAAATTGAAGATGCATTCTCTTCAGTAATCGCCCATTGACAGCTTGAATATTTCTTTGGCAATGCATGCTTTCTTCTCACTCACTGTAAAGAAATTTGGAGGACTTGCAAAATGAAAGAAGATAAATGTTAGATTCTTCATGTGTAGTCATCTAAGTATAGGAAGTGCTCATAACTTTAAGAACGCCAAAGGAAGCAATTGGTGTTCGAGGGGATATGTGCCTTCATACCCTGATCTGCAGGGATAGGGTGATAAGCCCTAGAATACGAACACGTAGTACTAAGGTTTCTCGTTTTATGGCCACAAAACAAAAGTAACAGCACCTAATTTCCCCTCTGATGCATTCAGCAGACATACACAAAAACTGAGTCTTCTCTGATGGCTTGGAATTCTTCCCTTGCTGTTCTTGCAGTTTAAAAGGGCTAGGACTGCTTTCCATTCTACAGCAACAGAAATCAAGAGAGCCTTTGTCAGACACCTGAACTTGGGTCAAGGTCTGTCTGGCACACTGAGCAGGTAGGGAAATGACCTACACTGGTGCCCATCTGCAAACACTGAGTGTCATTGCCTACCTGTCCAACCACTCAGGAATGTTCTCACCTTGCTGTCTCCACCCAAGTGTCCTAACCTATGAGCCACTGTGGCGTGAGGTGGATCCACTGCTAAGCAACACAGTACCCCTCAGGCATTTTAAAAGAGCAAGCATGTTATTTATTTCACCCTAAACCAGAATTCCCAGGAAAGCTGAGTTGTTTTTTTTCCTAATGGAGTCAGAGCTCACACCTTAGCCTACCCTAACCATTACAGTTTCCTAGTTCTCACCATGAGACCTCTGCTAACATCACTCATGCCTTGTAGAGCCGTAATCTCCTTAGCATCTTCTTGCTCTATGTATCTGTCAGAGAAGGAGTTTAAGTCCCTGAGATGAAAAACTCATGCTACAACATTGTCTTGAAGCCTGGAAAAGAAAAAGTCATCCAAGAATCATTTTCACTAGAGCAAAAGACACATAATAACTATCCAGAGTAGTGTCAGTTGTAATGAGAAAGGTAGGAATAGACAGAGGCAGAAAATCTAGCATCATATTCTTGATGCCTCTTTAACTTATTTTCTGCCATTGTCTATTATCTGCAATGCCACGGTGCACACAAGTAGCAGAACATTGGACTTGTAAGTATTGCTGGAGGATTATACTGCTTTAATAATATGGAGGGAAGGAGGGGAGAAGAAATGGTAGGAGGGCAAGGGAGGGAGGGAGTGGAAAAAGGGGGGAATACCCGGACCTACAGAACTGTATCAGCATTAGTGTGCAGAAGAGGTACTAAAGATTCTGAAGAAGGAAAAGCAAATAAGACCTTTAAAATCAAAATACATGTCTGTTATGATTTTGTTTCATGAGCATGTTCTCCATAGAATCTTCCCCAAGGAGACATTGGAAATAGTTGCTTTCCTAGGATCTTCCCATCTCCCATCACAATATTTTGACCCAACCTTCCATTAGCTCCAAGAAATAGTGAACACTACAGGGTACAAAATTTTGTCTGACTGTTCACTGGCACTCCCAGGAACTCAGTGTTCTTGATCCGTAGTGAATATTTTATCACTATTTCTTAAAGGCATTGCATCATAAGATCTGTAATAGTGTAGACTCTACAAGCTACAAAGCACATCCTCACATATTTCTTTTCTCATTTAGTCCCCATAGCAGCCCTGTGAAGTGGAACATTATTCTTATCTTTAATTTATAGAAGAGGAAGTGGGTGTTCTGTTATGATTTAAAATAACGACACCAGTAATTCAGAATGTACTAGTTGTTATGCAATTCTGGCCCCGTTAGTGCTGACCTCAGGTCTTCTCACACCCATCCGGGTGTTGCCCTGAGGAATAAAGTGTCGTTGGGGAAGGGTATCCTGACTAACATGCCCCTGTGGCTTGTTTTAGGTGGGTCTTTTTCGCAAATCCGGAGTAAAGTCTCGAATCCATGCCCTGCGACAAATGAACGAGAATTTCCCTGGACACGTCAACTATGAAGACCAGTCTGCGTATGATGTGGCGGATATGGTGAAACAGTTCTTCCGGGACCTCCCAGAGCCCCTTTTCACCAACAAGCTCAGTGAGACCTTCCTCCACATTTACCAATGTAAGTGGAAGTAACACGGATCAGCATTCCCAGGAGAGTTCACGGGTTAAACAAGTGCCTTGCTAAGTAATTCCTGAATTCATTACAAAGTCTACTTAACTTACAATCTTATTCTCCAGATGTAATCTCTTGTCACAGTTTAGTATGAGAATCTTCGGGCCAATAGATTTGCCTTTGAAAATGATCTTTTTAGCATCCACATATTGCAGTAGGATTTTGTGTAAGATTTCAACCTAACTTGCAATATGCTTTCAATAAATTTAAAATGTAAAGGACATATAATAAAATTTACTTTTACACACAAGTATTTGTTAAAAATTCCTGTGATTTTTTTTAAAAAGTATGCATTTCTTTAAGGTATAGGAAAATCAAAACCAAGCATTAAAAAAGATTAGAGATAAAGAGCAAATATATGGGAGTCTGACAAAATGTTTTGGAAAAAAATGAAATGAAAAGATAAGTTTATTTTGGTACGAAGAAATTTGAGCCACAAAATTTTTGTAATAATCTACATTTTGCATGAACTTGTTGCAGATTCACATATTCCTTTAATTTTGTTTTATTTGAAAAGCACAGGGCCAAGAGCGGTAGCCCAGTGGCTCTTGTTCATGTCTTGGCTGCTCCAGTTTCCTTCCAGCTCCCTACTTGTGACCTGGGAAAACAGTGGAGGACAGCCCATGGCCTTGGGACCCTGCACCTGCATGAGAGACCCGGAAGAAGCTCCTGGTTCCTAGCTTCGGGTCAGCTCAGTTACAGCTGTTGTGGCCACTTAGGGAGTTAGCTAGTGGACAGAATCTTTTTCTCGTTGTCTCTCCTTCTCTATGTAAATCTGCCTTTCCAACAGAAATAAACAGATCTGTATATTTTTAAAAAGTGTAGTCACAGAGAGAGATATTTTCCACATGCTGGTTCACTCCCTGTGTGCCCACAATAGCATGAGTAGGGCCGGCGAAATCCAGGAGCACATAATCCAGATCTCACACATAGGGGCAGGGCCCCAAATAGTATGTCATCGTTTACTGTCTCTCAGGATGTGCAGAAGCAGGAAGTTGGATCAGAAGCAGAACCAGGACTGAAACCCAGGGACTCAGAGATAATCTCTGTGGATATCCCAAGCAGGTTCATAAGCAATGTGCCAACTGGATCCCTTCTTTTTTAATTTGGTGAAAATTAAGCAAGCCAAATTAACAATTAAGGTTAATTCAACTGATTTATATTTCACGTACAAATTTTAAGTGATGTTACATCAATAGTTCTCAACAAACCCACATAACTAAAATAGCCCTTGAAAATAACAGTCTTTGATTTAAAGTCCAATCTTGATAAAGGCAGTTCCAATTGGAAATATTGGAAGTGAGCAAGCAACTCTTCCTTAGGTATGATTAAGATGATTAATTATTTTTGATGACCGAATCTCAAGTTTTCAGAGCAATGCAGTTTGCACATGGACTTTGAATCTGTGGTAAAACAAATGGGCCCTGACATGAAATAAATCCAACCCGGAGATCCCTGCCATGCAGCATTCTGCACTAAATGTGTTTGAGGACTGTATAATGTGGCAAGGTCGAAAAGGTTTATAATCAATACCACTTGTAAAAACAGAATAAAGTGGTGACCCTCTAAATAAATATTATTTTGTCGAAGCAATCAGGTTAAGTTAAATTAATGGTACTCATTGCTGGAACCGAAACACAAGCAGCTCGTGACGTGGTTGGTGTGAGAGGGAACTCTGTTTTTCAATTAAGCCTCCCTGTGGTTTGGAATGATCAAATTCTAGTCTTTACATCTAATCTATTCTTGAATAAAGGTTGACACTAGTCTTAGGCTAAAACCAGATTACTCCCAAGAGATAAATGCTGTTGCCGTTTCTGAGTCTCACAAGCAAAAAGCCAGATGAAAGTACGGCTTCGTTTTAGTTGAATAAACATTTATGAAATGTGACTTATGTGCTGGGCAACATGCTGAGCTGCAGAGCGTGGATGGCCGAGGTGGAGGGAGATGAGACGTGGGCACAGTGATGCATCCTGAACAAAAGGGACACATTGTGAGAAATGCTTTGTTTGGCGGTTTCAGTGCTAAGGGACCAAGTAGGAATGGATTTACACTAACCTAGATGGTGGAAGTCAGTCACTCATGGACTCTTCATGTAATAAACATGAGATATGTGAGACTTCTGTGGTGCATTGGGGCACTCTGTTTTACAGTCAATAAGTAATAGCACCCTCTAAACTACTCTATAAACCAATAACATAGCCATTTATAGTAATTCCATATAATGTACTATTCATAATTATGTTGCTACACTTTTGTCTTTGTAGATTTCTTTCCTGAGATTTTTATTTTATATATTTGAAATGCAGATTAACACACAGAGAGAGGGGAAGGCAGAGAGAAAGAGTGTGTGTGTGACCTTCTATTTGCTAGTTCATTCCCAAAGTGGCCACAGGGCTGAAGCAAACTGAAGCCAGGAGCTAGGAACTCCATCTGAGTATCTCGCATGGGTCACAGGAGTCCGAACGCTCAGGCCATCTTCTATTGCCTTCCCAAGTACATTAACAAGCGCTGAGTCAGAAGCAGAGCAACCAGGACTGCACTTTAATATGGAATCTGATCAGGCCACCAGTGGTGTCACACCGTGCCACAGCCCTTCCAGTGTACATTTGTACACTGGCAGCACAGTAGGTGTGTCTGAAAACCAGTATTGCCACAAACATGTGAGTTGTGTATTGCACTGTAGTGTCAAGACAGCTATAGCATCAGTGGGGGATAGGAAGTTCTCAATTCCATCACGGTATTGTGAGATCACTGTTATATCTGTGATCCACATTGACTGAAACCTTGTCATGCAGTGCATGGTGGTAAATGCATACAGATTGGAACAGTTCCATTGCAAAATTACAAAATACAAGAGTTTAAGATGAGGAAACACAGCATGGAGGAAAACATGAGCGACCCCTGAGAATTGAGATGTGTGAGGGCCACATTGTGGGTGAAACATGTGATCAGAGCATGTGACAGCAGAGTATGGTAATTTTTTTCTGGCTTCCGTGTGCGGTAAATGGCTTCCAGTGTGATACCAGTTGACATGGAAAACTTTGTCTAAAGCCTTATAAGTTGAACGTTATGTAAAGGAATTTATCCCTGATTCATTAAGGAGTTGGAGAACCTGTAGATATGGAGGGACTGGCCAGTCAGGATGCTCTCAGATATAAAGATAGAACCCCAAATCCATCAATTAACCATTTATAGAATGAAGACATTTTATTATCCCAGAAGGCAAGAAATATGAAGTTAAATAATTTCAGAATTGAATAATTCTACAGTTGAGTGATGCCAGAGCTAAAGCCAGCTTTCTCCCCTGGCTTTCTCCTGGAGGTCACAGTATTAGTACCACCACTTATAATTAGCACAAAAGTACCTTCAAAGGCAGGAAGGAAGAGAAAGGGCTTCTCCTTGGGCACATGTATGTTTTTATCAGCAAGATAAAACTTGCAGAAGCTTCCCCTAACAATTATCTTAGTCTTATCTGCCAGATGATTTGTATCCTTTCCCCAAAAGGACATTTGCCAAGAGGAATAGGATTGCTATTTTTGGTTTAGGCCATAGGGCTCACCATCAAGTTGACAGGAGGTTCTCATTCCCGGAGTATGTTGCAGTGCACACCTTAACAAGATGCTGTGTTTTCTTAGTAAGGAAGGAAGAGAGAATGGGAAGTGAGTATGAGAACAAACTTAGGCCTGCCACAATGATGCAAGCCCATTGGACTGTAATCTGTAAATGGTATACGAGAGTAAGGAACTTGAAGACCATGGCAAGTTAGGGAACCAGCATAGTAATGGAGATCTGGGTTGCCTACAGTGACTTCCAGCAGTTAGAGTGAAGAGTAAGACATTCCATGGGTAAATATAGCACCAAAGTTCCCAAATCACTGGAGAGAGGGGAGCATTTCCTTCTCAGGGCCAAGAGCAACTCTGATTTCAGCTGCCGTGTCTTGAACTTCTATCAAATGACTAATGAGCATGGAATGTTGAAGGAGTTATTAAATTATTTGGGAATCCTGCTGATCTACATGAAGGAGAAAGCCAACCCTGAAGGCTTAGGGACTGAAAGAACATAGAAAGAGAACAGGAAAAAGTGGTTAGGAGGCCAGGAGGCAGGAAGAAGGATTCAGAATCGGCAGAATGACAAATGTGAGGTATCCACATGGTCCTGATTGTCAGCACTTGGAAATGCAGACCTAGATGCTGTTCGTGGGAACCTCATAAAGAGGAGGAACTCAGGAGTGTCAGCTGTAAGGTTGAAGAAAATTGGATTGAAACTGAATGTTGAATGCTTGACCTCAAATAGCACTATAAGAAAATAATGGGCAAAAGTACTTTCTGAGGAATATGGGAACACGAGTAGGAAAGAAATGGTTACAATGAATATAGATGATAGATGACCCTTCAAAGGAGAAGTGTTGGCATGGAAGAGAAGTTTAGCAATCTAAAATGGAACAGTGTAACAGAGTACTTCAAAACACACACGGAAGATTCAATTAAAAGGTAAATTTGTTTTGGTGTAAAAAGTGTGGAAATCTAGGCCTAATTGTTTCATATCATGCATTTCGCGTAAACATTTTCATGCACCTTTGTATTCACTCTGGGCATCTTGGCTATAACAGAATATCTAGAAGCAGTTAAATATCTCAAGCTGAAGTTGCAACATGGCTTACAAGCTTGAACTCATCAGTAGTAGCTGTTAATAGTTCAGCACAAGCTAGCAAAAAAAAAAAAAATGGTTTTCTATAACTGCAACAAAATGACTCTTTTCCATTAACCCCAGGTATATCTTGTGCTGGTGTGCAATGGACACGCAGAGATGAGATGGGTTTCAGGTCGCAGAGGGAATAGACAGAAACATTTTCAGAAATTCAGATGTTCTGGCTGGCCAGGAGTGTGGCCAGCCCAGGCCACTCCTGCAGGGTGCTTAGAAGCAACAGAGGAGCCCAGCATTGAAACCCAAAACCTTTGCCTCTTCAGAACCTGGGCAAGAGATCATACTAAAGACTCAAGGTAGCAAGATCCATATATTTTTTTAAAGATTTGCTTATGAATCTGAAGCTGTGTGAGAGCAAGATCTTCCATCTGCTGATTTATTCCCCAAAACACAAATGTAGGGTTCAGCCAGGCTAAAGTCAGGAGCCTAGAGCTCCATTCAGATCTTCCACTTTGATATCATAGACCCAAGTACCCTGGGTCATCTTCAGCTGCATTCCCAGATACATTAGAAGACAACCAGGTCAGAAGTACAGCAGCCAGGACTTGAAACAGTGTCCATATTGGATGAAAAATGATGACTTCACCCTCTATGCCACAATGCCAGCTCTTCCATATTTTTCAAAACATTTACCTATCTATTTACCTACCTACCTACCTATCTATTTGAAAAATAGAGTGTCATGGAGTTGTGGGGTGTGGGAAATAGGGAAACGTTTTCCATCTGCTGATTCTCTCCAAAATGGCCACAGCAGCCAGGGCAGGGCCAGGCTAAAGTCAGGAGCCCAGAATGCCATCCAAGTCCCTCATGTGGGTGACAGTGTCCCAAGTTCTTTAGCCACTTTCAACTTCCTTCCCAGGCACATTAGCAGGAAGCTGGGTCAAAAGTAGAGCAGCCCTGGGATGCCGGTATCTGAAGCAGCAGCTTAACCTGATGTCCTATAACACCAGGCCCATACCCCACATCTTTTATCATATATCCCTATGAGTAGTAATGATGTAAATGTGTGCATTTATGTGTGAATAATGTAAATATACTGTGATGCACTGTGATATACCATACGTATTATAACGCATGCCCAACCAGTATATTTAATGATGAGACAAAAATGTGCACAATTAGAGATCCTGTCTTCTTCCCAGACCTTAAGGGATTGTCATGAGCATACTCCCCCATCCCTTGGCAGTGCAGACAACCTCAGCAGAGACCCTGCTTTAGAGTGTGTTAACAGAAGGATGCTCTTGATTGTGTCTTATGAGGATAAGGGCACTGAATCAGATCTGAAAGCACTAAAGAAACACAGCCAGGGGGCAGCAAAATGCAGCACCTAAACACCCATTGTCTGAGGTTTTCGCTTGAATTGTTAGGACCAGTTCCCTTTTAAGCCTGCATAAGCAGAGCCCCTCATTGCCACCTCAAGGACAACCATCAAAAGGAATAGACTGCAAAGGGCAAAGTGGTAGTATGAGCAATCCCTTTTTACTAAGAATCCAGTTATGATTGTGGCCACAAATATGTTAAAGAGTAAGTGAATGCAACTTGCAGTATTAGGGAGCGTGAGTCCTCTTTGCCAACCACAACCTGTTTCCATAAACCCCACAGTTGCAAAAGGACTGACGTTGTTTCCTCACACAATGCCCTTGAGTGCATCCTCTTATCTAAGCCCCCAGAAACTTTGTAGGAAAGAATTACTAGGCTTATTTTCGAGGCAATGTGCTCTAGAAGTCCAGAGGCCAGCTAATTTGACTCCACCAGTGATGGTTAATTGTGCCAAGGTGGCCTGCTGTTCCAGTGGGAGTGGGTAAAGGCCACACTGTTGTCCGACTACTCAGGGGCTTTCAAATCATGCCGCACAAATTTCCTAGCATCATGAGAGGTGTTTCCCAACCAAGTTTTTTGTAGGAAGAGTGTGTAGGAGGAAAACCCAGTTCACCTAGCCTCAGCCTCTCACCAGTTTCAATAGAACAGAAAAAAAAAAATCTGAAAACAGATGATTGGATTGATTACTCAGAGTATGAAAAAGCAGATGGTGACATCACTTTCTTAGCATCACCAGGACATTAAGACAGTGGATTCTGGGCTTAAGTCAGGCCTGCCTCCTGCTGTGAGGCCTAAACATATTCCTAAGTTCTGTGTCTATGGATCTCACATCTGCATATTGCACTAACCACAGATCGAAACTATTTAAAAATTTTTTACATGGGCACTAGCATTATAGGAATTTTATTTTTGTGTCATTGTTTCTTAAACAATTCTGTTTAATGGCCATTGCATTGTGTTTATGTTGTATTGGGCATTATAAGTCATCCAGTCATGATTTAAAATGTATGCGTGGATATACATAGGTTCTCTACAAAGACTATACCATTTTACCTCTGGGACCTGTGCACTGAGTCTCAGAACTAAGAGTCCTAGAACCAAGCTCTCACCAGACCGAGGACTGACTTGCACAGGCCGTGAGCTTCTGTGGTTACTGATTATGATGGTGGCAGCACCCACATGTGTAAGTGTGCCTTTGTACCAGGCAGGTGGAGCTCACACACTCTTGCCCTGTGCCCCAGAAGGCTTTCTGCCTATATTTCTCTCATGACCTGGTACCCACTTTCTCTCAGATGTCCCCAAAGAGCAGCGGCTGCAGGCGGTGCAAGCCGCCATCCTGCTCCTGGCCGACGAGAACAGGGAAGTGCTGCAGACGCTCCTGTGTTTCCTGAATGATGTCGTCAACTTGGTGGAAGAGAACCAGATGACGCCCATGAACCTGGCTGTGTGCCTAGCCCCCTCGCTCTTTCATCTTAACCTACTGAAGAAAGAAAGCTCTCCCAGGTGGGTTCCTCAGCCTCAGCCATCATCCCAAACCAGGGCCTCCCCAAAGCTTGCTAAAACAAAACAAAACAAAACAAAACAAAAGGTTTCTGGCACTGGACTGTAAGGGAGGGCTTGTTGGTTCTTTGTAATCAGAACCCCTTCCCAGATCACATTGTTCATGGGGCTTGGATTCATGAAGTGGTGTTGGAAAGGGTCAGTGGTGACCCAGAAAGCCTGAGAAGTTTTGCTTTATTTTGTTTTGTTTGTGAGTGGGAAGGAGGAGAGCACACAAACTAGTGTTTTCCAGTCTTTGAAAGAATGCTCTATTTAAGACCCAAACTCAGGGGTTTGCAATCAAATCGTTTCAAATTTTGGAAAAAATAGATTCATTTCTCCTCCCACACTGCTTCCTGTTCCCAGTGCGAGCTGGCCTCAGAGTATCTAAGAGGCTTGGTGGTTTTTGTTTGGACGTGGGTTCTGCATCACATCTGGTCTGAAAGAAAACACAAGGGGGTGGACTGGGCTGTGCGAGGCTCTCTGCCTTGGGATCTGCTCAGCACACTCACGTTCAATTACAGAGTCATCCAGAAGAAATATGCCACCGGGAAGCCAGATCAAAAGGACCTCAATGAGAACCTGGCTGCCGCACAGGGCCTGGCCCACATGATCATGGAATGTGACAGACTTTTTGAGGTGAGCAAAAAGGTTCTAAAGCGCCTTCCTTGTAGCTCTTGGAACTAAATAAGACACATAGAATGTCGGTTCCATTTATGGTTAGATCTTTTGGTTCTTGATTTTAAAATGGCAATGTCATGTAAATTCTGGTCTTTGCCTCCAAGAAATATGAGAAGCTCTGGCTATGGACAATCAAAGTTTTAATAGCTAAGGAAACTTAGGGTTACCATGATGCTAGTTTTCATGCAAGCAGTAACCTTTGATTAGTTTCAATTCCTCTTTGTGTGTGGTGTGTGCGTGCATGTGCGTGTGTGTGTGTGTGTGTGTGTGTGAGAGAGAGAGAGACTGAGAAAACTCTATTTTACTAAGAATCAATGACAGTTTGTGAATAGAGCCACAGACATGTTAAAGAGTAAGAGGATGTAACTGCTGGCATACATTTTTTGTAGTAAAATTGACATTTGCCAATTGGAAAAGTGTGATAAAAAAATGTGGTTTTTTTTTTTTTTAAATCATTTTTTATGTTTCCCTTAGCAAGTCTAGCTGCTACAAGTCTATGGGGGATAAAATTGCTTGAACCCACACTTTGCCAAACTGAACAGAAATACATTAAAAAGAAAACAAGGGGAAAATGGAAAGAATGAATGGGAAGTTATTATAATGTTTTTGAATAGTGAAAATAGACTTAAAAATATGTTTGTATTGCCTGACATTAGGAAGGCCTCTCTTGACCTTGGCATTACCTTGCAAAACCAGCTCCAGCCCTATAGCCCTTGGCACACTGCTCAGACTTTGGTTGTCGGTGCAATGCTCTTGCTTTCTCAAACTGTTGCTCTTAGCATTTCTTTAGTTCTATGTTATTCTTTTTTGCATTTGTTGGTTCAGGTGCCACATGAGATGGTGGCCCAGTCTCGTAAATCCTATATGGAGGCAGAGATCAATGCACCAACCCTGGAAGACTTGGGCACGCAACTGGAGGAAAGTGGAGCAACGTTCCACACTTACCTGGAACACCTCGTCCATGGCCTCCAGAAAGAAGCCAAGGAGAAGTTCAAAGGCTGGGTCGCGTGCTCCAGCACTGATAACACAGATCTTGCCTTCAAGAAGGTGATCACCCTGTCTGCTTCTTTTGTTAAAGATTTATTTATTTTACTTGAAAGGGAGAATTGCTGGGAGAGACAGAGCGACCCCCCTCTGCAGGTTCACTCCCCAGATGACTGCTGTAACCAACGTTGGACCAGTCCAAAGCTGGAAACCAGGGAAGTTATTATAATGTTAGATCTCCAGGTTCTCCCATCCTCTGATGCTTTCTCAGGCCATTAGCAGAGAAGCCATTAGCCAGGACACAAACTGCTGCTTATATAGGATGTCAGTGCCCTGGGTGGAGGAGTAGCTTGCTATGCCATTGAACTGGCCCATTAAATAATTTTTTATGTTTATTTATTTTTATTGGAAAGGCAGGTTTACAGAGAGAAGGAGAGACAAAGATCTTCCATCTGCTGGTTCATTCTCAAAATGGCCACAATAGCTGGAACTGAGCCAATCCAAAACCAGGATCCAGGAGCTTCTTCCAGATCTCCCATATGGATGTAGGGTCCCAAGGCTTTGGGCCATCCTCCGCCTCTTTCACACGCCACTGGCAAAGAATTATATGGGAAGCAGAACAGCTGGGACACAAACCAGTGCCCATATGGTATCCTGGAATTTGCAAGGGGGGATTAACCAACTGAGACATTGCATGAGTCCCATAAACAAAATATTTTTATAACAGAGGGTTGAACATTTGTCTTAGTAGTTAAGATTTTCACATCCCATATTACAGTGCTTAGGTTCAACTCCATGCTCTGGCCACAGATTCTGGCTTTCTGTTAATATACAACTTAGGCTGCAGTAGATGATGGCTCAACTAATTAGGTTCCTGCCACTCTCCTGGAAGACCCAACTGAATTCTCACCTTCTCACCCAGTCCCAATACCAGCCAACCAATGTTTGGTTGTTTGAGAAGCAAACCAATGAATGGGAGCTTTCTCTTCCTGTCAATTAAACAGAAATCAACATTTTTTTTTTTTAACAAAAAAGGCGATTCTCCAAAGGCCATATCTGACAGAGATTTGTTTTTGCTTCCCAAATAACTGCTCCATGCAAATGTACCATTCAAAGGCCCCAGCCAAAGACTCATCCACAGGTCTTTTACATAAAATCAGAAACAGATCATGTAGCCCAACTTCTGATCCTCTTCCTGTTTCTTCCGTTCGCTGTGTTCCGTAAGCCTCGCCCCTCTCCTTGTGCCATTTTGTCATTTGCAAAATGGACACTCTAGGAGCATCTCTTTCACGGGGAACTACCTAAAAATCAAATGGATTAGGACAGTCTCTGGCACATGATGTATTATGTCTGTGTTGGTATGTTATTTTTTTTACTTTTATTGTCATCTAAGCTTAAGGATTTAATGGGCTGATGTGACATCTCAATTGGCTAATCCTCCCCTTGCAAGTGCTGGCATCCCATGTGGATGCCAGTTCTTGTCCCATCGGCACCACTTATCCAGCTCCCTGCTTGTGGCATGGGAAAGTGGTGGAGGATGGCCCAAAGCCTTGAGATGCTGCACCTTCATGGGAGACCTGGAAGAAGCTCCTGGCTCCTGGTTTTGGATTGGCTCAGCTCTAGGAAATGAAGCAGGAGATGGAAGATTTCTCTGTATGTCTCTCTATATATAAATTTGTCTCTCAAATAAAAATAAATCTTTAAAAAAAGCTTAAATTGAAGTATGCAGCATCACTCTTTGAATTTGCATAATCGGTGTTGTGTCTGAACACCTTGGGAGTAGGATGGAATTTAGGTGGGTTCAGGTGACCTCCCGTGTGAGCATGTGGTGTGTCTTTCCCCAGGTCGGGGATGGCAACCCGCTGAGGTTATGGAAGGCCGCAGTGGAGGTGGAGGCGCCACCCTCGGTGGTGTTGCATCGTGTGCTAAGAGAACGACATCTGTGGGATGAGGACTTTGTGCAGTGGAAGGTGGTGGAGACCCTGGATAGGCAAACAGAGATCTATCAGTATGTGGTGAACAGCATGCCTCCCCACCCTTCCAGAGACTTCGTGGTTCTCAGGTAAGGCTGTCTCCAGGGTCTGCGACATTCTGTCCCAAAGGCAGGATGAATGCTACAGATTTAAGCCCTATCTGAAGTTCTCCACTACCTACATCCAGCTGCCACAGGGAACACTAAGCTAGCTCTCCCAACACTGCTCACATCCTGACTTTACTATATCTGTGTCTGACTTTCTGCTTGTTCCACCCAATTTACAGCCCTGCCTGGCTTCTCTTATGGCCCCTCTCCTTGTGGAGCACACAGTTTATTAGGCCATAAATATCATTCATTTCCTTCAGAACACAGACCCGACACTAGCTGCTGTTGATCCTAATGCACTTTCTGCCAAAATATGCAAATTAGAGCTGATTAGTTTTTCTCCTGATTTTTTTTTTCCTTTCTTCCCCTGGAAGGCAAGTCTTCAGTGCATGGAACTCTTAAGACTGAGCATAAGTAACTTCAGACCTATCTGTATAATTCTGCATGTCTGTAAGTCATTGTCATACAAAGAGTCTTGACACAGCCCTTTCCACAGTGCTACCAAGAGGCTGGTTGCACAGTCACATTTGAGGACTTGATGTGACCTGCTGCTCAGAGTTGGGTCTGCCTTTGAAATATTGCTTCTGCTTGATGTATGGGTTGAGTTCCAGATCTTTGCTCTCTGGGTTTAGAATGGAACACTCAACCAACAACAGGAAATTTGCACAAAAGAAAGGCAACATTGTATCAGAATAAAAAAAGAGTGAGGATATTAAAGAAACTAAATAAACTGTAATTAGATCAATATATCCTTTTTTATTGAAAAGCTAGGCAAACCTTATCTGTTTTCACAGATCAGCTGTATGAAAGAAATCACTAGTTCAATTCCCAAATGTGTATTTTAGAAGAGTGTCTTTATGAAACCTGTTTTGATGGCAAACTAAAGGTTACTTTTCACATGGACTTTATGCCTTTGATATTATTCCTTGGGACCTTGACTTTGAATGGTCCATTTTCCCAAAATATATATGTTTATCTCAGAAACCTTGAGAGAATATGGGCAGTTATAAGAGTGGCTCCTTACTATGGTTATTGGGACATCAGTCATCTGATGGGGGTTAAACTTCACTCCCTCACCCTCACAGGCAGGAAACTGAGTAGCTGTTCCAGCCTTGGCAGCTAGGTCATTTGTGCTTCCTCTTTCCTTCCTTCTGCCCACACAGCAGCCCCACAGCATGCTCATTAGTGCAGTCATCTTTCTGAATCCACAGGGCTTGGTTTCAGAACTTGCTGCTGGATACCAAATCTTTGCAGCTCAAGTCCCTTGCAACAAATGGAGCAGTATTTGTATAGAATCTATGCACATCCTCCTGTAGACTCTACATCACTTCTAATACATAATGGTATAGAAATTGTTGCTATGCTGTCTTGTTTAGGAAACAGTGAACGAAAAAAATATGTACAGATATTCAGTGCCACTGCAGGGTTTTGTTTTGTTTTGTTTTATGAATATTGTCAATACACAGTTGGTTGCATCTTCAGATGTGGAACCTGCAGGTACAGAGGACCAGATGGATACTAGTCCATCATTCCTGGGCCAGGCATCATTGCAGGCTCTGCAGTAGCCCCAGTGAACATTGAAAACCAATACCCTGCTCTCTTACAGGTTTATGTTTTCCTGGGGAGAGAGAAAGAATCAATAAATACTAAGAAATAAAGATAGGCTCACTTGTCCTTGGGGAAATAAATTAAGGAGATATTAAGGATGGAATTTTAAATATAAAGGTCTGAGCAAAGTCTCACTATTCTGATACTTAATCTAACACCTGAGGGGAAAGGTGAGTGAGCTGTGAGGTTCAGGAGAATCCAGCATTTACAACAACTCAACAGCATCGTTTCTGCCCACAAGAATCCTGTATGTCGGTAACACAGGAAGGAGGAAAGTGGCAGTATGGTGAGGCAGTCGCAGAGTGAAATGTGTCCTGACCCCAGGGCATCTCTTCATTCGAACACACACAGCCTTGGCTGATCCCTTTGGAAGTACCCTGTTCCCCTCTCATTTGACACCCAACTCTAGCCCCTCATGAGTTTCCAGTGAGAGATACAGCTTTCCCCATTTTTTTTTTTTGTTTTTAATTTCTGTTGATCTTTGCAATCATCAGTCTTAATTATTTAGTCACATAATCATGCAAAACGCAGAGTAGTCACAGCTGTGGGGAAGTGCAGAGCATCTAGGTCAGCCTTCATTATCTCAGGTTCTTGTCGAGTGTTGTAGCCATTTTCTCTGTTATAATAAAACACCTGTAACCAGGTGATTTAGGAAGATTAGAGGGCGCTTGACCTCTTGGAACCAGAAATTAGGAAGTTCAAAAACAATGGTACCAGCATCTGCTCAACTTCTGGTGAGTGACTTCTGGCTGGGTCATGACACCACAGAGGGAATCACATGGCAAGACAGCAAACCTTCCAGAGAGATCTCACTGTTACAGTAAAGCCCTTCTACGGAGAGCCCACACACCATCAAGTCTCACCTTCTTCTACACAGTTAAACCATAAGCTAAGAGCATATTTAACAGTTTCTCATCCTGGTATGGTTATGACAGTATAAAGTTCTAAATGAAGTGAATAAATCAAGAAATAGAATCTAGAAGGTGAACAAGGGAGGATTATAATGACACAGTTGATTATGATGCATGCCTGTGCTGGCAAGGGACATTAGGGCTGGTTCTGCAAAAGCTCTCCTGACTCTGAAGTCCATCTGCAAGCTTTTCCCAGTTGGTCAACTCCTCTGTGCTTCAGCAGCTACCATGTCAAGGAACTCACTCTTTCTCAAGAGTGTGCATTTTGTCTGTGGATCACTTGCACTGTTACACAGCTCTTTTTGCCACTGAATTGAAGTTTGCCTTCCCTCCTCTGAATTTTGGAGTCAAACAAGCCATATCTTAAGAGCCACTCATGCATTTGAAGAATCAGCAGATTCACATGTGTTTCATTCTCTCCAAACGAGACATCAACAGTAAGACTTGAACTGAGCATCACCTCCTCCAAGCAGACTGCCCATATCTCTCAATGTGGTTCTAGACTCCTCCATGCATGGCTACGTGACTGCAATACTGTGGCATTCTGAGGTCTCTTGAGGGTTGCCGGTTTCTCCCGGGCTGTGGATTTCTTTGTGCCCCAGGGTGCCTTCACAGGGCCTGTCACAGTGATGTATTCAGCAGCAGCTGAATGAATTGAATTGAATATGAGACTTTTAGTTCCTAAATTAGAAAAATCTTCTCCGTAATGGGTGGGAGCATTCACCGAAGAGCAAGCTTGGGCCTTCATTTGGGGTTCCATACATAAAACTGAAAGCTGCAAGATCATGGCTGGCCTCTGAGGGTGAGAGTGGAGATGCCTGCTCTGAGCTGCACTGTGGAAACTTGACACTAACTTATGGAAACCATTGGCTTCATCCAAGTAACTGGCATTGAAGTTGCAGCCTGGGTTTTGGCAGGAAAGTTGACATGTAAACCTTAGTTCTGGTGTCAGGTGCCACTTTATCCCTTAGCTGTATGTTTAATGTATGGGTTGTTTTGCTTCAGGACCTGGAAGACTGATTTGCCCAAAGGGATGTGCACCCTGGTGTCCCTGTCTGTGGAGCATGAAGAAGCCCAGCTCATGGGCGGAGTGCGGGCTGTGGTGATGGAGTCTCAGTACTTGATAGAACCCTGTGGCTCTGGCAAGTCGCGGCTGACCCACATCTGCAGGATAGACCTGAAGTAAGTGTGAGCTCTCAAGGATGCCAGTTTGGGGCTGGAAGGTCTTGGCTCTCATTCAGCACTTCCAGCGCCCCGTTTGTCACCTGACATCCTGTTTCACTATACTTTGATCCTCGCTGCCATAAACACACTTTCAAGGATGATTCTATGTGCCTCTCTTCTTCTTTCCTTACATTCTATTCCTTCTCTTGCAGCCCTCTTCTTGCCTTTACTCTCCATTTTCCTTGTGTATATTTCATTGACAACTAAACTTTGGGCGTAAGTATACTGGACTGCTAGTATGATGTTTTAAAACATAAGCATTGTAGACTGGCCAAAGCAAGCTAATGGGCATATCCATGACCTCACATATTTTGTGGTGGGTACATTTAAAATCTACATTCTGTTAGCATTCAAGAATACAATGCATTTTTTTAATTAGCAAGTCAGATATACAGAGAGGAGGAAAGATGATCTTCCATCTGCTGACTCACTACACAAGTGGCTGCAATGGCCGGAGCTGAGCCAATCCAAAGCCAGGAGTCAGGAGCTTCTTCCGGGTCTTCCACAAGAGTGCAGGGTCCCATGGCTTTAGGCCATTCTTGACTGATTTCCAAAGCAGAGGGCTGGGTGGGAAGTGGGGCTGCCAGGAGACAAACCACCACCCATATGGGATCCTGCTGCATGTAAGGCAAGGACTTTAGCCACTAGGCTACCATGTGAGGGCTGAACATAATGCATTTTTGTTAACTCTAATCACTGTAGTTTGCAGTAGGTCTGTCTATTTAATTATTCTCTCTATTGGAAATTTTATGATCCTTGACCATTATGTCCCCAGCCTCTAGTATCATCATCCCCTAGTATTCATTCTCCTCTCCGCTTCCAATAATTGCACAATTGCAGATTCTGCCTGTGTGTGATATCCTGTGGCATCTGTCCTTTAGTGCCTGACTTATTTCACGTAGTATAACATCCTAGGCTCACTCATGTTGTCATAAATGAGAGAATTCCTTGCATAAGGTCAGAATAATATTCCATTGTAGATAAACAGCATATTGTCTTTATCCGTTCATCTTCTGATGCACACATAGGTTGCTTCCACATCCTGGCTATTCTGAATAGTGCACAAGGAGCACAGGAGTGCAGATGTCTTTCCCATGCACTGATTTTATTGGCTATATGCCAGGAGTGGAATTATAGAGTAGTTTATTGTCCCTTCTATTTCTGTGCTTCTCACCTGGAGCACACACAGGCACATATATAGTAGATCTTCACAAATCCGTGTTCTGTTCTCTTGTGTCTTTGTAACCTGACTCCTCTTGCTGTCCCTTCTTCACCGCAGTTACCTTCCTTTGAGAAGAAAGTGACTTACATCCAACTCCCTTCAAGGTTTTCATGATACCGAGCTAAGTTCTTCACTTTGGTAGACAGAAAGTGAGTTTTCTCAGTGAAGTCTAGCTTTAGTCTAATTCTTGCCATTTTACTTGTAAGAGTTGGTGTTATGTTAAGGCACCTGATGAATACTGAAGAGACAGAGTGACTATTGGTGGTCCAGACATTTTCCAAGCACCCAATGACAGAATGAGGTTCTCAGATCCACAAGGTGGCCGTCCCAGGTTGTAGCGGGTGCACTGTTGGCCAGGGCTTCAGGATGGCTCTGTCTTCCATGGAAAAATGCTGAGTGAGACAAACAGACCTTCCCACTTGCTTTCTGATTTCTTTCCCACAGAGGTCACTCCCCGGAATGGTACAGCAAAGGCTTCGGACACTTGTGTGCAGCGGAAGTAGCCAGAATCAGGAACTCTTTTCAGCCCCTCATTGCTGAGGGTCCAGAAACGAAAATCTGAGTTTTCCCAGCGTGACATCAAACTCAGGGAAGAGGAAGAGAAAGCAAATGGTAATGACAGAGAGTGTGCGCATGAGAAAGCCAGAGAGAGCAAGTGGCTGACCGACATAGTATTGCTTAAGAATGGATGCAGTGAAAAGCAGTCGGCATGATGAGGACACAAGAATTTCAAAAGGAACTTTTCTGGCCTTCCTGGAGATGGCTACATCCATACTAATAGAATATTTTTAAATATTAGAGCATTTATCTATATTACTTAAAATTCAGTGGACTATTCCTTGTGCATTGCCTAATTTTGTATTTAAAGGCTTCTAAGAAGCATATACTGCATTGTAAATAAATGTATGTGTAACATTTGTATATATACATGTGTATATCTCCATCTTTGCTGTAAATATGTAAGATACTCATTTTATATATGTCTGTTTTGAAACAGAATGTCTGACTCGGTGAGTCCTTTCCTCACATAGCTCTTCCCAAGTTCCTCTGGGTCCCATCTCCCTGTTGTCCTAGAAGCTGAGCAGAACCTGCTGCTAACACCAAAGTGTGAGAATGTGTCGTCCAACAGGCTGCCATGATGTCTAACCAAAGATCAGCTAACCAAAGGAAAATACCATTTAAAAGGTTCTGACGCCTTGTCGATTTGCTCCTGCCAACCAAGTACTGAGGGTGGAGTGCTGGGATGGAGTGAGGGGAAGAACTTACTTCTTTAATACAAAGCAATGGTGAAAAGTCATTACCAAATTGAAGTGGCGTTGGCCAACTGGCACTGGGCCCCCCAGATGTGATTTCAGTGAGATGTCAGACACTGAGGGACCACTGTGTCATGCCAGTGACTGAGACACTACCGTGCCCCAACTAGAAGTGAGCAGACCACCCTTCACATCTTCATGGCAATGATGATCTCTGCATGGTCTCAGGTTTCCATAGAGACAAGGGTACTTCAAAAAGTTCAAGAGAAACGAGAGTTGAAAGATGATGCACATTTCCACAAGGGTTTTGAAGTAGCCTCCTATATTTCATAATGATGTTAAATGTTATTCTCTTTGACCAGTGGCCTTCATGGGCACAGTTCATTGGCATTTTCTTACCAGTTTTGTATTGCACTGAATTTAACTCTGGACACCAAAGGGAGGTGATGATTGTTCAAGAGTCCTAGATCATCATAGCTTCAGGGAACTCGTATTTTTTCTGTATGATGCTCTTAAAATATAACTCAGTACTGTTCTGCAATCCAAAAGATAAGATATTTAATTAGTATAAGACCAAAGCTATGTTCTTTAGTTTTAGAAAATATAAACATGTTTATTAGTTTCATATTTCTTTATTAGCCTGCTCAAACTACCTATGCATCTGACCCAATCTTATTTATTAATATAAAGGATGGGCAAATTGACTCTCCTGAACCAGTTGTGAATGGATTTGTTTTTATTGTAGTTCAACAACTGTAAAAGAAAGATAACTTATTGTGTTTGGTTTCAGGGAGAGAGATATTCTTTGGTTGTCTGTGACAGAAATGAATATCTCTGATGTTAGAAAACAAAAAGAAACAGTTTAAATGAATGGCTCCAGTTTTTTCTGTATTATTTCATTTATGTAATGTTTTCTCTTATCAGCAATTATTTTATTGAAATAATGTGCAATTATTTTATTGAAAGGAATAAAAATGCTACATATGAGTTTGGTATGGTGCAAGGTAAATCATACTGTTTGAATTATGACCTAGGAATTTTCCATCCCCATGTGTGTATCTAAAAAAGGTGGCAACAACCCCGTAATTTACCTTTTGGACATTGCTTTGTGAACAAAACAAATCCATCCAAAACCTCTTGAACGTAACTCTATATGCTGGGTTACTGTTTATACATCAACAACATCATTAATGTAGGTTAGCTAAACACTGGCACTGTCCCGAGAACAGGACCCTGCGTGTTTGGGAAACACAGAATAAGCATTTTTCCCAAACACAAGTATCCTCTACTCCTAATGCGCACACACTTCCCCCTGGGTGCTTGTGACATGCAGACTCCTCTGCAGGCGGTCTGGAGTGGGCGTGAAATGCTGCATCGCTCGTGGGCCTCAGGGACACCCACGCTCTGGCCCAAAGACCTCGCTCTGAGAAGCCAGCATCTAGAGGACACTTAAACACAGTAAAACCAAGTGTGTTTGTATTTCCGACTCTCCTCTCTTCAAATAACCTGGCTTGTTTTTTGTTGTGCACATACTCATCACATCACTACAGCGTACGAAATCAGTGCATCCTTCTAGAAAAGGAAAGGGGAAAGTGGGGAGTGGAGAGGATGCATCTCACGTATTTGTCGAACACCACAATGTTTTATTTGTGGTTATCTTGCCATTGGAAATAAAATATAATATTACATTTAAATATTATATTTATACCTCATGTATATTTTTACCTCAATTGCTGGTATCAATCATTAATTGTAAATTGCTAAGGCAAATAAATTTATATATATTAAATATTTCCTATTTTCTATAAACACATGTTGATTTTCATGCCTCATCATATAAAGTGGAAAACTTGCTCCATGAAGGAGAGTTCTTTCTATGGTTGTTTGCTGTGAGCTTGACTTCTTAGTGCTGTCGATAATCAATATTTTCTCCCATGTGCAACGATGCTGGTATTAGCAAACACTAATAATCTTAAGTTCCTTCACCTGGGCCTCGGGCATTAAACTGATGGGGAAGGATTTTGTGTGTCTGTTCAAATTCATTAATTATCAATCTGGATTTTTTGAAAATGCATTCATGATTTTTTTTTCTTTATCTAAGATGCAGTGAACCCTTTGCTGAATTATGTTGTTGGTACATGGACAAGGAATCAGGACTTGACAGAATGAGTTATAACACTACTCGATTGTAAAGAGGAGCCACGAATGACCGATCCTTGGCCCTTGTAGTCATTCGTGTGCCTTGTCTTCCAAGGCTTTACTTCTATGAAATAATGAAGCTAGCCCTTAGCCAAGTAGGCAGGAGCTCCCACACTCAGCTCTAGGCTTCCAAAGCCACAGCAGCCAAACCACCATATGCCACATCAAAGATGTGCCAGCTCCCCTCTGCTCACCTCACACACGACTTCCTCCGTGATGTGAAAGTTTTACTTCTGTAGGCAAAGCAGGAATCTCCATGCTAGGTTTTCCTCTTTTATGTAAAGAGGTGATTTTTTTTGCAGCTATAGGTTATAGTTCAAATGTTGCTCTGGAAGTGTGGATCATATGAACTCAACTTGAAATTCTTAGATTTGAAAGCATCATATTGCCGCTTTCTGATATTTGATACAAAAAAAAAAAACACCCAGTCATGTGACCTCTCATAAGATAATATACAAAGGACAGGAATAAAATATACCCCAGCCAAATAGTGGATAGCACTCTGACATAAAAGTGAAGTCAGTGTGTGCTGACTGTCTGGAAGTGAAGACAGCTCCTGTGCCTCAGCATTCACAGTGTTGCACAGCTGTGAAGACCCAGTGCCTGACAGTGTGCTCTGTGTGGCATTCCTCAGGCAACTCCATCCTGTGTAGATGTTCTTAAAGAAAATCTTCACTTCCACTGTAACAAGATGCATCAGGCAACCTGCATGACTCCTTGTGTACGACTGGAGCCCCCAGTTGCTAGCAATTCTATGTCTTTGAGGTCAGATCCCCTTTGTTAAACATTTATGCATTCAGCACACATCTGCTAGGAATATGACACTGGCAGGCAGAGATGCTAATAGGAAGAAGATGCCTTGCACAGAAATGGCAACTAGCAGTCCATTAGCATCCTTTGTAGTTCTATTCTGCAATGTCTCAGCAAACCTAAATCCACCAGTGTTGACCTATTGCTCCAAGGGAAATTCAGCCTCTGGTCATGTTTGTGAACCCATCAACATCTAACACTGGGATATTCTTTCTATACTTGACATACATCTCCTACAAATTAATTTCTGTAATATTGTTTGGCAATATAACCCTAATGGAGAAGGATTTAATGTTGTCCTAGCCCTGGGGACATGACTACAATTTTCTTGGGGCTTAGACCTCCCAACATTAGCCATATCCGTTTTTCTTAAATCACTCTATCATCTTCCACGTCCACAAATTCAGTTGCTTTTCAGTCCAACTTTTCCACAGCTGCACCACACACTACAGATGGCCCATTAGTACTTTTCTGGAACAGCCTCACAGCCACATCAGCAAGCTCCCTCACCATTCTGCCAACAGCACTGTAACTGAGGCGTGTGCAAAGCTCATGCAACACATTCTCTTTCTTCCTGTACCGTATCCTAGCATCCTTGTGTCCAACAACACTAGACAGCACATCGGCACTACACCTGAGGGACATTTTTAGCAGTAAAATCACCACCAACAAAGCACAAACATGGGGGAAACATGGCACTCAACAGACCATAAAGGGACACATGCCTATACTAAGAAAACATCTGCTCCAGCGGGGGATGTGCACATCAGTGACACCAACTGTTCCATCTGCACGCGATCATAGAGGCACTTCCAATATTGAATGATTTGGTGGCTACACATCAGTGTTAGCAAGCAGGTGAATTTGTAAATACAAAAAATACAGAATCCACAAGTATGGAGGATGGGCTATAGATATAATTCTGTGGATTTTTAGGGTTGCCTGCACTAAGACAAGGAGCTGGAAGTTCAGTTGAGATCTCTTATTTGGGTGGCAGGAGCCCAATTGCTTGAGCCATAATTTGGTGCTGCTTAGGCTCTGCAATGGCAGGAAACTGGTATCAGCAGACAGAATGAGGACTTAAACCCAGGTACTCCAACAGAGAGCATAAGTATCTGAACTGCCAGGCCAAATGCTTGCTGTAGTTTTTCATAATACAGGCTTTCCATGAAACTTTTTTTTGTTAGAAATGGATCATTTTAATGCTTTTTAAAGCTTAGTTAATAAACAGTTTTCTTGCCAACTACAGATATGTAAGGCTATTGTTAGTTTCCAGAAATGTCACAGTAATGACAATTTTCTCAATTAATGTGTAGTCTTCTATAATGATTACATGTTATGTATATGAAACTGCTGTCAAACAGGATTGTTGGTAACTTGGACATATTTCTCCCATATAACTTGCTTCCTTGTATTACAAAGCCCAGCTCACTCACATTCACTCTAATAGCAGTACCTTTGGTAGTTACACCCAGAGTTATATATAATGGGGACGATGGACTCTGTTTTACACCTAAATTCGGCAGGCAGAAGGTGTCTTCCAGTTCTGGATGTGTTCCATGGGCTTTTTTGAAACGTAATCGCCTTGGTCTAATGCATCTTTCCTATTTGGGTGGTTTTCTTGTAAAGCCATCTCCAACAAAGCAGGCTTTGGTGACCATCCTCTTCCCTGCCTTCTTTTTTCGTTTTCCTGTTCAAACAACTTGTCACACTTCTGTTTTTCCCTTTAGGCAGAAGGACTTCCCATGTTCCATCTTTCTCTTTTCTTTCTTGTTTAATCATATTGAAAAGTACTTTAGCTTGGGACTGTCCCTCTCTGTCCAGCTGACAGGTTGGTACTGCTCTCTGGGAGTCTTTTCATTTTTCTTTTGTTTGCTGTTTCTCTTTTCCTGCATGTTGATTGTCTTTTTCCTCTGTATTTTCCCAGCATGGCACTGCTTGTGGTAAAGTTTAACCTTCAGACCAATCTTTTTTTTTTTTTTTTTTTGCCTTCTTTGAGCATTCATGAGCTTTTCCTTTCCTTTCCTTTTTTTCTCTTGGGCCCTTGGGCCCATGTCCTTGGACTTGCACTTACATGTTTGATCTGAACAAAGCTCTTGGCCCTGTCTGTAGTAATAGCAGCTATTTGAAGAGTGAAGCAGCAAAATCTCTCTCTCTCTCTCTCCCTGTCTCTCTCTCTCTCTCTCTCTCTCTCTCTCTCTTGCTCCAATCCTCTATATATCCTCTGTATATCCTCTCTGTATCCTGTCCTCACAGTTTACCATTTAGTGAGCAAACCTCCAGGTAAGCCCTCCAGAGATAATAAATGCAGAAGAAGGATGGTGCATTGGGAAATGTGGTAGGCTTAGGTAACATGGTCAGAAAAGATTCTTCTGTGGGCCTGGGATAGAGAACTCTTCCAAAGGTTGTACTAAGTAGCTGTCTTTGTCCATAGTCCCACTAAAATTGCTTAGTACATGGTTGGGGGTGTTGTAGATAACCAATTTACTGAACACCTATTCATTGTGAAAAAAGAGAAGTGCAGCAACCCAGACAAATTGTGCCTCTGAGAACTGCACTAGTTTCTGCAAGATGGCTACTTCTTCCCTGTGCAGGTGTTGGAAGCCCATGTATCTCAAACTACAACATTCAATTCCAGAAGCAGAGAAGCAGTTGTCAAAGAGACAGAAAGCTCCCATCCATGGATTGACTACCAAAATGCCTCCAATAGTTGAGTCTAGCCTGGAGCCAGAATTAGAAGCCAAGAGTGCTGTCCAGGCTACAGAGAAGGGCAGGTGGGTGGTAAGGACCCAGCTACTTGCATCCTCATCATTGCTTCCCAGAATCTGCATTGGCAGGTAGCTCTACTAAGGAGCCAGAGTTCTCTCATGTGGGATATAACATCCTAACTGCTACCTAAGCCATCAAACAAAATGCTCACACATACGACACTGGAGTACCTAAATGATAACAGAGCAATGTCCCAGGTGCTCTGATTTCGAGAAGCTAATGTGCCTCACTAGTCTCCAGAGATATTTAGGATTTCTCAAGAAAAGTTCCACCCTGTGCATAAGAGCAGGCCCAGAGCACTCAAAATTGATGTCCTCGGCACCACTGCAGGACGCTCTACTGCCAGTGGATGATGCTGTCAGCTCCCTGCCTGGCTCCATACCTCTTCCACCTGCTCTCATCACACTGACATGGATCAGGTCTCCCCTTAACACCTTCTGATGGAACTGATACAGGATCCTCCTGAAATCCTCACAGTCCACCTGACAGTAGATTGTCACCAAAAATAAAAGCTCATGCAACACCCTGATCTGGGGAGAAGAAAAATACAAGAAGAACATAACATAAAGCTATTCATTTAAGTGGCTTCTCTTTGAGCACATGGATCCAAACCTGACCTTTGAGATGCTTATCTGTCCAGCTTACCCCGCCATCTCATCCTCCACTGCCCTTCTCAGCTGCAGGCAAGGACTTGAGGGACCCCCAAGCCCATCTCGCTCTCGTGATGGATGTATGACAGAATGGCAAAAGGAATATCAATCCACATGGGAGAAGACCTATTTCACCTACCTATCTAGAGGGTGTGTCTTTACCAAACCTTTGAACCCAGAAGACAGCACACAATGGACTTG